AATAATTTATTAGCATTCTACCTTGTATTGCGCGCAGAGTCTAGTTATAGACTACCCTCTGCCTAGTATAGACTATATTACAGTTTAGCAACCCCACACCAAATATTGGTATCTGTGACAGCCTGGTTAGAAAATCTTCTCAAATCTTCCAAAAATATTTTAAATCAGAATATCCTTTTACCAAAAATAGACAATCTACAACTATTTTTTACAATTTGTTACTGAAGAAGGATTTGGGAATGGAAGATTTGAATAAAAATCATGTTGTCTTTCAAATGTTATTTCTTCTCACATTTTATGATTTAGTTCACTCTTTTAATCTGTTCCTGCCATATTTTATTCTACAGTAAGTGGTGTTTGAATAAATTACTAACTAATTACACACTTTTTCAGTAAAATCATGAATCTGAGTCTAACTATTAACATTATTGCATTTTTATTTTCTTTGAGAAAAATATATTGTGAGCTAATCCAAAGTAAGATTTCTCTAAAGTTAAAAGCTCAAATAAACTCACAATCTTATATATTACACAGTTCACAACAGTTCAAACAACAGTTCACAATAATACAAAAATCAAATCAAAATTAAATATCACATTGAAGTATTGAAATAGAATGTTTGGTATATTTACCTGGTGGCTGTTGGAGTATGCTTGAGATCAATGTACCATATATGTGTAGCAGTATAGAGAATAAGAAACAGAAACACCTGTTTCTAGTGCTTTACTTGACTTGATCCAAGAACTCAAAACATTTCTTATACCCTTTCCATATACATTGCTTTATTGTTAAATTGTATACTTTGATATAAGAAAATGTTCAGGGTGTTATATATCACACATTTTCCAAAGTTTCAAAAATCTTAAAAAATCAGAAAACATCTGAACAGCTTCATTGTAAAGCAAAACTCAGACAATTGTATTTTTGGAAGGGATATTACTCTAAAGCTCTCGTGAAATCCTTCATATTTACCAAAGCTGACGTTTTTAAGATCTAACTGATCATGGATATTTCACAGCATATCTTTCTCAAATTATAGATAAACTGCTCAATAATCTTATTTTTACACAATTCTGTGAGTGTTGACTCCATGTCCATTCCCTTTATTTCCATATAATTTTACTATATTTTACAATAGTTCATGCTTCAAATCATAACTATCACAACATTTCACATTGGTTCAAGCCCTTATCACAACATTCTAACCATGAAGTCTGAACTGTGAAATCTTAGTTAATCCTAAGTTAATCAAAATATAACCATGTGGAAATAATACTATACTAAATTAAATTAAGCATCAGTTTATCTCTTTTTATTCTAATCATTATTCTACTGGAATCCAAGATGATTTAATGTGGTGGTCTAAATTGTTGGTCCCTTTTGTCATAAATTCCATAAAAACTCTGGCAAAACAATACCTAGTATATAATAATATATAGTACATTGTATACTGAATTCTAAGAATGTCTGAAAAGAACAAAGAACTCAAAACATGCTGAATCATTGATGCCGTGCTTGGTTATATGGAAGCTAGTGGATTTGTGTTGGTTAACGTAGTTCTACACTTTCTGATTTTATTAAAAAAAATTGGATAATGTTATTCAATGTTATTCAAACATAATTTTACAAAAGTATTTTGTTTTTGATAAAGCAGTTTATTCTTAATTTTCTATTGTGAATACTGGTATATAGCCAGACCAACACAAGTGCTGCCATCTATCCATTACTATAGCAACTGGTCAAATATAGACATGACAATTGTCATCATGCAGGTGTACCTTAACAATATCTCACTGTTAAGGTAGAACATCAAACATATGACAACTCATCTTGAATTTCCAAGGAAACAGTTTTCATCAATGAAAACTATGACAACAATGTCTCACTAAAGAAGAAACATGAATAAAAATATAATTCTGCACATTTTTAAAACACAAAATGAATTACATGCCAAATATTTCCTCTTGTCAGGTGACCTCAAACTTCAATTTCCATGTTCAAATGTTTTTAGTGCCATTTGAAGCAAATAAATGTGTCATTTTGAATTCTTTAGATATTTGTAACTTAAAACTCTTCGGGTTAATAATAAAATACAGTTTATAATTTCTCAAATATTTCCTTCATTCTGTGTCACCTCAGATATGTACCTGAGATTCAGGCTAAACATGCTAACTTCAATTGAAGTGATAACTTGCCAAAAATCCCCCTGGAAATAAGGAAAAGTGCTTTGGTATCCCTGGTAACCCATTTGAACTCATAACATCATATCATAATTAGCATAGCATGGTTAATCACTGTTATATAAGGGGTTCAGGAAAATGATGTATGTTAATATTTGAAAATGTTGGGAAAAGACGTATTCCACATGGAAGTTTACTTTCGCATTTATTTTTTAACATCTACTCAATTATTTTAAAGGGACTAAAACAGAATCTGAAATTACATTTTTGGTGAATATGTATGTCTTGACCTGGCCTCCAAAATTTCATTCAACAATGGTTATCAGTTCACTTATCTTTTTGATGACTGAACTTTGCTAGAAACACAGCACCAACTTTTCTATAATTTGAGAGTAATCTAATATGTGTCTTGTAAATAAAGAGTTACTATGCTCCATGAGCAGCTGTGCCAATGACATGTTACATTTAAATCAATGTCAAGGTGCCCTGGTACTAAGATGTTAAGATATAAAGTACTGTAGAAAAAGTTAACAAACACAAGGTACAAAGCTTAAAACTACTAAAATATCATAAATTCCGGTTCATATTTATCACATACATGTAGTAAAATTGCACAATTCAAAAAAATCCCAAGGAAACTCATCAGTTTCATTTGTTCCAACCTAAAGTATAAACCTAGGAACCCAAGTTGATTGTTCCATGCAGATTTTAAGTTCAGTAATCTTTGGGTCATGCATCAAGTATAAACTCCCCCAGTTTGGGGTTTGAAAAATCACTAAAATCGATACATTTTGAAAAGAGCAAAAAATTATGCAATGACATTCACTGTGCTTGATAAATGACCTTCAGATAAAGTAAGATAACATAGTTTATCATATATCTGACAATTCATGAGGCCATTGACTTTTAGTTTCAGGAAAAAACGATTATCTTAGAATTGATGAGATCATTGTAACTATTTCCATTAGAAACAGTCATAATATATTACTTCTCAAGTAATAAAGAAAAGAATGTGGCTGAGATTCTGTCAATGAGGAAGTTATGATATTCACTCAAAAACAGTACCATCTATTTTAAAATGAGACAAACCATTAACTTGCAAAATGTCACCACCTGCCATTTGTTAGAGATGTTGACTCCGAATGCCGAACATCACCTGCCACGGTGATCTCCACAGATGTTTTCTCAAGTGGGTTCAAAATTCACATTTTCACAATTCAGACCAAAATTGGTCAAAATATGCCAATGTTTCATGATTTTTGTCATTTCCAAATGGGTGCAAATGGATTTTTAGGTGGGTGCAAGCCTATTTTCAAAATCTCAGGTGGGTGCTGCGCCCACTTGCTTTAATGCTGGGGAGATCATTGTACCTTCTAAAATAAAGTTGCAGACCATAACAATATATATATCGTGAATCAGGTAGTTTTCTACAACCACCCTCCCCCTTCATGCATTACTTCTCTAGGGGAGGGGGTGATACAGAGATTTGACTCAAACTTATGAGTCAACTCGAATTTAATATTGAGGTGGATTCAAAGGAATGAAAAATGTGTTACAATAGGCCTGCCTAAAAATCCTAATTGGTAGCATCCTTCTATAGGTGCAATGTAACCTATGAATAAACTAAAAAGGAATGTATTGTGCCATTGAGTACCACTGTAAGCCTTTCTATTAAATTAGATCAATGTCCTACATCTAGTCTGAGAGCCTGAGATATGAGTCATGTAGTACAACATTGTAAAGATTCACCAAAATCTTTCATTGTTTTAAAATAGTCAATACACTTTACTCATCAAGTTTAGGAAAAAACTTCAGATGACGGTATTCTTTGGTAGTCTTGCCTTAAGCCTTTGTGACACCCTCCTATACATGTATATAATGCAGCTGGGGTTAGAGAGACTTAATGCAAGACTTGTCCTGTGGAAGATTGTTTCAAGTCAGCCATCTTGACCTTAACTACGGCAGGGGTATCTGATAATGTGATCAATACCAACAATACTAATTTTGTTTAGAAACTTAGTTATCAATAACAAGATTATGTCTTAAGTTGCATCATGTCTGGTCTTCCCACTTCCTATTTTTCCAACATTTGTTTGTGATACAGGATATGGAGTGGAGGTAAAACAGGACCTTATTGCAAGTTGAACAAGGCAGTAACATGCAAATGTCACCACCAGCCATTTGTCACAGGCACCAACTGCCAAACACCAATTACAAAAATGTTGGAGACCATAACCACTTGTGGTAGTGACATTACAATTTACATTTTTACCTTTATCTTTCTATATAACCTTATGTATGTTAAAATTCTCTGCCTTCATTATTCTATTACAGAATTTGTGAGTTATTAGATATCATACGTCTTCCTAATGAAAGGCTCCAAGATCCAGGGGGCTATTTTCATTTTGATTCATATCATAAGAGAAAATAATTTACTTTAGGCCCTAGAATGATTTCCTCCTCTTTTGGAAAAGGGTAGTCCTGCATCAAACCCTAAGTGTTCAATCATCTACTTATTATCTCAAACACAAAAATGAAGAATCGATATGGGGGACTTAATGCAAGATTGGAAAGAAACGTAATAGAATAGTTCTATAGTTCTTTGGCTAATAATGCTCATTTTGAACCTAGCCAAAAAGTAATTTTGATACTAATTTGTGAAATGAAATAAACTATAAAAAATATCTATAGTTTTGTATGGAGTATATAGAACTCCTTCCATTTGTTCTTCACATCCAGCTTGAAGCTAGACTATGAGCTCTGGAGCCCTGCATTTTCAGGATAAACTTCTACAATGACGTATTGTATTTATTCACTTACTGTGACAGAAGCTCAGCTAGGGTATCCTGACATAGATCTCTTGCAATATCCCTTGGTAATTCGCCACGTCTGTTGCATAAATCGAGTGCGTCTTCAGCTCCCAGTTTCTCTAGTAACAATCCTGCAAATCTCTGAAGCCCCAGGCGTGCTGCGAAATGTAGAAGTGTCTCTCTCGGTAGAAGTTCTGAAATTATGTGAATAAAGTTACTTTTATTGGTTTCTCTCAGTTTCTCCAGTTATCATAAACTGAACTTCTAGCTACACAACAGAAGTCTCTCTTGCAGCGAAGTCAAACTATTTGAAGAAATTCAAAATAGTTTAATCAATTTGATCAACTCTACTTGGCTTCTATACTCATTATCAAGTGCATATCTGTGTTATTTCATCAGTAATACACCATACAAGCAATGGCCTAAAAGTAGGAGGGCTACCGATTCAAAACTTGAAATATTTCAAGGCTTCTACCAGCTCCTAATGGATTTGGAAGGTAATGCCTCTTAATGCAAATGACCTTGATTGGTAACTCTATTTTTATGTGAGGTTGTTCAAGAAAATGTGATTTTGTTGTTCACTCTGTTGAATTGCTCTCAACCTTAATGGCACTCTGCTATGTTTCTAGAAAAGGTTGAGTGCACAAACTGTGACTGAGAACTTTATCTTCAACAATAAAGTTGCTTTATATGTACATATGTACATCAATTCCAGAGTTGAAAAGTTCAGAGATGTTCGAGTCAATGTAGGTTAAAGTAACCCAACTACACCCTATACAGAACCAAATGTTGAGAATAGAACATGAGTTGAGACTACCATAATATCTCCTTTCAATGCAGACAATTGTCTTACTTTATTAACTGATTCAGTCCAGATGGAGAATGAGTAATCATTCATTTCCCGTTTCTATTCCACAGTGGCATTATATACTGTTACAATGACTAGTTTCTGTAAAAATAATATAATTTGCCAAGAAATGCAAATTCTTACATCTTGCTCTCTGTCACTTGCCCAGTAGGGTAATAGATAATGATTTCATAAATTCCCGATAGTGATAATAGCCCCACTGCAAGTTACCCTATTGTGCATTCGATGGAGTGAATATGGTACCATGTTCTTGAAAGTCTTGTTTTAACCCTATACCTCCTTAATTATACAAGATAATAGAGAGATAATACTTTCTAAAAGGATGCTTTATCTGTACACGCTGATTAACTGTCTAACACATGCTGAATATAACACATCCTGGATCTGGTTTTTCAAGACCATCTTAACAGACCCATGACGTATGTAATATATCAGAATGACCTGCAAGATTCTGAAAAGTAAATCTGACTAACAAGTGAATGGGGCTCTACCCAAAGCTGCCACCTCTCTATTTAATGGTAGCAGTCCCGTAAAATAACTAAACAATTGCACATCCCATTCAACATCTTTTCATGCGGCAGATCATGCGGCAGATATGTAAATGGCAGCTGTTTTCATAAGAATGGGTTCCCTATTACTTGTTTTTAATTTTTGAGGTTTCTGTTATATTGTAAAAAAAATTAAATTGCCACGCATAAAATAAGAATTCATTTTTCAAACAAGAACATGCAGCACACCTTTTGTTGTCTTGGCGAGATCTCCAAAAGTTAACTTGGTCGAGCCTGGGGCGAAATACATCAATAGATGATCCTTATTATATTTTGATTTGATTTGAAAACTATATTCATTTTGCGTATCTCTATCCGAGTACAAAACTGGTCTTCCAAGAGGCCCGTTTATAATCTACAATTATTTACAATGTGTACAATTAATATAACACATACAAATAGATATATAGAACATATAGATCAATTGATACGATATCTTCAGAAGAATGTATTTACTTATTAAGAGAATTACATTTTGATATCTGATCCACCATAAACCAAAAGGCCAGAGAAGGGTAATGAACAAAACAAAATGCTTGTTTTGTTACGTGTTGTTTAGGTAGCATGTTTATTACGTCATAAATAATTATATGCAAATGAATTTAGAATCAATCCGGGATGTCTAGATGTTTGTTGTTGATGGGGCAATATGTGACTGATGTCACAAATGTTGGTATTATATTCTAAAAATTCATTGAATGAGTTACATGACATTGTTTTACAACATTAGATAATATTTGCCTATTTAAGCCCCATTTGACATACTATGAAAACATTAAAAATATAATAATGTGTCAGAATCTTTTTATAAATTAATTTTAGCTTCATTTTTGTGAATTTCAATTTTTGACAGCAGACAGAGGGGGCAGAATGGAGAGAATGTAGCTGAGACATTGCTTTTGAACCTCAGATAGGCCAGTGGGGCCACATGGATCACGATCCCGCAGCTGCCGAGGAGATCTCGAAAAGTTATTTTTCAAAATTGCTGCTATATCTAGCAAATTGTCAAAAAGTGACTGGTTTAGAGAGAAATAATTTATTCACCATTTACTGTCTGCTAAAATCAATCACATTTGAATGTTTTGGTACCATGCATTTCATCGTCTAATTCTTTTGTTTTAAGATTTTTTAAGATATAAGATTTTATGGTCCAGTCTTACCAAATCCTCCTTGCAATTAATCAGTCTTGAACAGAAAATAGACTTACTTTTTCGCCAGTCAGTGTATTATGGCAATCTTGATATATCCAGATGTGTTACATACAGCGTGACCAATGCCTTATAGTTATAACGTATCTGTTCACTCTAAATAATAAACTTATCATAGCATCCTGATACACTGTATACACTTATATATTTTTGCAGCTACTTATATTGTCATACTTCCAAATATTCTTCATATAGCAAATTCTACATGTAATGCTAATTTCTCAATAATTTGGTTAACTAAAACTCTGGTGAGAAAATGAAACTGAGTGTCAAACCAATAGCCATTCATAAGGCATTAGCAGCTTATGTCTCAAATGAATATTTATACAATTTTGTAGAAACGATGCAACCTCTGAAAAGCGATATGGGTGATATAGACAAGGGGCCTATGTTAAAAGATGTAATCATCAGGCAACAGTTTTAACAATAACAAATCAAAGCTATAAAAATATTTATCAATGTTCCCCCTCATAAGGGATCTCCTAACCTTGAACATTCAATTATAAAACATGAAAACAAAGCTCATTCTTGGTATTATTTAAGAGTACAGTGCACCTGAAAATAATATACGACCAGAGCAAATTGGGAAGAGAGAAGGACAGACACATGAAAGCTGGGCAGATGGACAGACAAATCAGATGGACAGTTTGAGATGGTTGGATGGACAGACAGCCAAACAAGTTGGTGATTCCATCAGTCAAACAAGTTGGTGATTCCATCAGTCAAATAAGTTGGTGATTCCATCAGTCAAACAAGTTGGTGATTCCATCAGTCAAACAAGTTGGTGATTCCATCAGTCAAACAAGTTGGTGATTCCATCAAACAAGTTGGTGATTCCATCATTCAAACAAGTTGGTGATTCCATCAGTCAAACAAGTTGGTGATTCCATCAGTCAAACAAGTTGGTGATTCCATCGGTCAAAAATCAGTGAACTTAACAAAGCAGATTATGTATGTGAATGATATATTTTCCCAAAATACAGATTTCATCCTCTGTGTGCACTGTATCCATCCTGTAGATGTGTCATATAGCTGTGTCATAAATGTGTTTTTCACGCATTCCTAATTTCACAGCTTTATGTAATTCTTCAATTTAGAAATCTAAAAACATAAAAGTCCAGAACAATAAAAGTCAGTTGTGTTATCAGTATTTACCTGCAGAAATCATCTTTCCCGACAGAAGCCACACAAAATAGATAAAACTAGGATTTACCACGATTTTACGATTTTTCTGACTTCCTGCCTTGGAATTTACACACCATTCATGGTGCTTCATAACTTGACTGTTTAAGCAATAAAGTAACACTGTAATATTCTAACTCATAATATATCAGAAATAAGCGATTAATATTTTGACAAGTTACGCCTAAATCTGGAAATCTCTTTTGAAGCTTCATTTTCGGAGGATAAAAATTGATGCAGTATCTATAGCTTGTGAAAGGGGGCACTAAACGAGATGAATTGTCACTATATCTCTTTCTACATATGATATTTCTTGACATTTCTATTTGTAACAAAGCATTAACATGCAAAATGCCGTTTGTCACAGACATCGAACACTGAACCCAGAAGACAAATCCCCGATCGCCATCCACAATAAAGTTGGAGACTATAACAGTATGTCACCACTTCTGGTTGTGACATGAAAAGGTCCATTTCTATGTATAAATAAAAAAGGTCTATAATATAAATAGCCATCCTTTATTTTGGAAGTCATTTAACCAGAAATTCAGATTTTATGAAGGCTAGATCGCAAATTATCTTTCTTATCTATTATTAAAAGTCGAAGTTGATCTCTTATATAGGGCACAAAATTATTTGACTGAAAAATGAAATATTGACAAGACAATAATAATCATGAGATTCAAAGTTCACACGAAGGTAGGGGTTTCAAGTCTCCAAACACTACAAAAACAGAAACCAACAACAGTTTTATTCTGTGATATCTTGTTGATAAATTGTCTGCTTCCAGGTGGACCAGAAAAAGATAACATGAATTAGATTGCAATATACCTTAGGTGGTGTTCGAAAAAAACATGAGTAAAATGTCACTCAAATCATGGTTACTTCACGTGATTTCTTTACTTTCAATGAACTACCTTTTAATTCGTCACTTCTGTACAATCTTCCATGTCTGTAGTTTTTTAATCCTTTAATTCTACTCCTTTATAACCAATGGTTAGGTTCTTAAACATAACCAGTATGATGTTTTGCTTCTGCGTACATCATTGAAGTTATGGACTCACCAGCAATCACCAGCATTGTTGTTTAAGGTTGGGAATGATTTCTAATGTCTTGATCATGATTGAGCAAAAGTTATATTAAAAAAATAATCATTTAGGCCTCTTTTTCTGAAAATGAGCCTCATTTTAACAAAATTTTACCATCATATTCTCATCTGAAGATTCAACTCGAAAATAAACAATGAATTAAAATGCAAAATGTAACAACATGCTATTTGTTACAGACACCGACCGCCCAACACCAACTGCTGAACACCATCCACAAAAGAGATGGAGACAATAACAATATGTCACCACTTCTTGTGGTGATATAGAAATAGAGTTTTATATTGTGTAGCAATGTGAGTTCATACAATGAATATAACAGAATACTACTGTAGGAGATAACTGCCAAGTGTTAAAACAAACTTTCTGGCAGTATTCCCTATATAATCATGTTGACCTCTACTTATCTAATTGAGCCTAAAGGAAGCAAAATATACAATTTCTTGTATCTGTCTCAGAGGATATCTATTTACTGAAAATGAAACTGAAACACAAATAGGCCCTTATAGTCAAACATATAACAAAAATTGATTTCAAATGTCTTGATGAAATTGAAATTGAGTCTTTCGTTCAAAAAAAAAGAACTGAACAACTGTCTCAAGTCTCTCATTTGTAATGCCACACCCATGCATTCAGCTTTTTTTCACTAGATAGAGGATGGAGGAAAATAGTATAGGGCTTTATGCAATGGCAGTTTCGCCCTTGCGTTAAAACTTGTAAACATCCAAAATATCCTTATTGGTTCACGAAGTACACTGCTGATATCTGATCTTCTCAATTGATTAAAGTTACATTATACCTTTGTTTTCATGATTTCAACTTTAGCCAAAATTTAGTTCGTTCTCTTACGTAAGAAATCAATATCAAAATAAATACAGATTAACTTGAACTTGAGAATGTTTCCTACGCAGAACTTAGAACAACAACAGTCTGTTTACATTCACACAGATTTTTCCGGGAGCACCGAACAAAAAACAACTCACACCTATTTGTGTATCTGGGACTAGAATAACTGGGTCACATTGCAAAACACATGAGAGAATATTTCATAACAATTAAGTCCAAATTCCATGAGTAATTATGCTTAAAAGTTGTAGCCTGAATTTACTTAGCACAAAAGTTTTTTCCCATAACCCTGAATGAGCATTTTCTGAACCTCAAATGTAATTCAAGTGTCAGGATATCTTATTCCTCATGCCACCTTTAATTAACAGTAAATTTCAACATTATGTGAAAAATTTGCCAACATAGTTTGTAACACAAAGCGAAATGTCACTGTGTTCTCATACCCTTGTATATGGTAAAAGGGGAATGTCACTTAAAACACAGTAACGTTAGCTTTAAATTGTTCAAAGAAACATAATAGCTGGTATCTATGCTTAAAAAATCAATGATTGTTAATTTTCCAATAGAAAACAATCTAAAGACAAGGCATTAAAATGCAAATGTCACCACCTGCCATTTGTTACAGACACCAAACACCGAACACCATCCATAAAAAATCATGATGTTAAAAACTTACCCAAAGTACATATGTAATCCACTAGTCAATTCTAAAGTTTTGCATCCTAAAACCGAATAGACTGACCAACAACAAAAACTTGTTTTGGCCACGAAATATCTGAATCGTATTGTTCCATCTACTCGAGAACTATTAACACATTAAAATCTTGTTCTGACCTCTGGAGAACCTTTGCATTCCTGGGTTATCAAATGTTTACTTATTATAAAGATATCACACTTATTCAGCATATTTCAATACTAAAACATTTCAGATGATTTCCTAAGGTGAACTAATTTACCTAAATATGCAAACCAGGGGTAAACTAATAATGTTTAAAAGCCAATGAAAATATTTCAATTTAAATACATTTTATATACATATACCCTGTTACCATGCAAGATTACTGTATATACAATTATTTTACCTTCAGTATGTATGAATACTTAGCATGTGACACGAAATCATTTATCTAAAATTATCTTTTCTTGATAATGTATGCAAAGACATAGTGGTTGAAGGGGATAAGCTTGTCTGAAAACTTTTAGGAGATATTAGGCTATACCTTTCCCGAGAAGCTTCTCTCTTAGGAGATAATGGGTAATACCTTTCCCAAGAGGCTTCCCCTAAGGAGACAATGGGTAATATCTTTCCTGAGAGTTTCTCCCTCAGGAAACAATGGGTAATACCTTTCCAAAGAGGCTTTTCCCTTAGGAGACAATGGGTAATATCTTTGCTGAGAGGTATCTTTCTTACTAGATAATGGGTAATATGTTTCCCAAGAGGCTTCTCCCTGAGGAGACAATGGGTAATGTCTTCCATGAGAGGCTTCTCCCTAAGAAGACAATGGGAAATATCTTTTTTTCTAAGAGGCTTCTCCTTTAGAAGACTATGGGTAATATATTTCCCGAGAGGCTTCCCCTTAGAAGACAATGGGTAATATCTTTCTTAAGAGGTTTCTCCCTAAGGAGACAATGGGTAATATATTTCCTGAGAGGCTTCTTCTTTAGGAGATGATGAGTAATATCTTTTCTGACAGGTTTCTCCCTAAGGAGACAATGGGTAATATCTTTCCTGAGAGGCTTCTCCCTTAGAAGTAAAATCTTGCCCTCAGCTTCTCCTTTAGGGAACAATGGGTAATATCTTGCCCTAGGCTTCTCCCTTAAGAGACAATGGAATACATCACTTGCAAAAGCCAACTCAAAAAGCTAGTCAGCAAAATGTTCGTCTTTAGTACTGACATTTTATATTACATCTCCATCTTTCTGAAAGCTTTCTTTAGTTCAAATAAAAACACTGATCAGACTGACATCTATAAATGAAGATGATTTCAAATTCCACCAACCTTCATCAGGGCTATCCACTCCAAGCATACACCAATGTTCTGGGAAATCCAAATGCTCAAATGCAGCAGTCAATCTATCATCCAAGCTTGTGTAATCCTCCTCTGCTAGATCAAAGTTAATTCCCTTCACTTGTTCCAGATCCTCTAAGGAGCTGGGATCATAAACACTTGCTGCAAGGTATTGGGCCATGTAGTGAGCCGAGTCCTTCATGTAAAAGAATTGTCCAGTTGCGAGGATATTAGTATGGCCTGTAGGTCCTACACATACTGTAAGTTCTACTGATTCTGCTTGATTATGACCTATAAACAATGATTTGATGAAGATGTTGTATTATTTAGAGTCATTTGGGTTAAATAATTGTCCAGTTGAAAGGATATCAGCATGGCATGTAGGTCCCACTGGCGAATCCAGAAGCTAACAAAAGGGGGGGGGCCCACATTTCAAATCAGAAATAAAATTTTCACGCTTGTGAGAATTTTTTTTGGGCCCAAGTCAAAAATTTTTTGAAAATTGAGGCCCTACAAAATTGTTGGGCCCAAAAAATGTTCTGCCCCCCTCCCCCTCCTGGATCCACCAGTGGGTCCTACACATACTGTAAGCTCTACACATTCTGCTTAATTGAGACCTATAAAACAATGTTTTGATTGTGATGATGCACTAAACATGTACAATGTAGAGTCATTCATATTAAAGCAATAACAGAGAGCTTACCTGGTACTACAGCCTGTAAAGTTTGAGCGTTGATACACCTAGCTGTGGTGACATGTCTCTCTGTCCCCCCTTGGAACACTAGGTATATAGGGCTGTCTGTCTGGATGAACACATCCTCTGAGAATGCGACCACAATGGCACTGCCACCCTAAAATACAAGTGATGTATTAATTATGTATTATGTATTAATTCAAATGTGATCTACACAGCATGGAGGCAATGAGGAGGAATACCAATATAAAAATTATTTTATGCAATTGTGAAAAATTGAAAAATTCTGAAATATTATGATGTTTCAACAATTTTTTGACAATGCCTATGAGAAAAATAAAACAAGAATTTGTAACGAAACCAGAAAAATGGCACTATTGGGTTAGACAAATGCATGGACCATTTGTATAAATTACCACCTTAGACACCCATATAAAAAGGATACAGCATTGATTCAGATTAATAGCAGTTTTCATTTGTCTATTTGTTAAACACGGACGGATGGACAGATAGAGAGTTCCATATGTGGATAATTCTATAGGCTAAACATTTGAGTCAAAAACTCTTGGGAAAAACAATGAAGTTGAATCTATACCTACACCTCTGATTAAATACTGCAACATTAACATTTTTTCAGTAATCATATTTCATAGAGATGTAAGTCAAGCTGTAACCAACACTCTTAAGAAAATAACTCCAAACAAAAAATAAATAAATATGAAAGAAGGTTTCACATATTTCAATTCAACCCAAGGCATTTAATCTTTCATTAACAGTTCAAGTTTATAAGTGACACAAAGTATACTGCAAAATCTAAAATATAAGTTGTCATATAAAGTTAACAGAGCATAAAATTATCAGAATGGTTTCAATTTCTTTATTTATATAAACATGTGTTGATTGAAAAATGGCCCAGCGAAAATACATCAAATGAATGAATAAAATATATTTGGTTTAGCTTGGTGCAGTTATTTTATTCTAAAGGCATCACATTAATAGGGTTATTCAGTGTACCAAATCCCTCTTTTTGCATTATTTATTGCAGACCCTCTCCTTCAAACACTGACTTTTTTAACAGTGTCTGATGCTGCAGATCTGTGTACTTACATAGACTGGTGACTCCAGGGGTGAGAAAGCCATCCGGCAGTGATCTGCAACACAGAAAACAAAAATGATTTAGTCTTAACATTCATGTTCAATTAAATGTAGGTGTGTATGAAGTACATACCTCTCAATGTTAATACTGAAATGAGGTCCCAGTAATTTTCATTTAAGACATTCTTTCCAACATGAGAAATCATGGCCTTCTATTAACTTCACACTAATATGTTTTTACGGGCGGCCTTGGTAGCCAACAGCTTCCTTGGTGCCTTTCCACCAGTAGATTTACGTACTGTCTGTTTTGTACTAGCATTTTTCTGGTTGGAGACAGAAAGATGTGATGAGTATCAGAATGTATTCTTTCAGTATTTGCCAACATAAGAACATGAATACATCTGTGAATCCTGTCACCCTTCTTGGAAAAAGCAGAATACATGAATTCTGGTAGTGTTTAACTTTTAGAGAGATCATAAATCAACCTTAACCCTTTTTACTTCATTTTGAAAGTCAAGGATAGCTGGGTTCAAATGATATAAAATCACCTTTGATGAACTAGAAACGAGTATGCTCTTACTCAATATATTCCAAAAATCCTCATCTTACAAGTGCCAATTGAAATTTATAACTGGACACAACTCCTCTTTTGTTTATTTCATTATGATGTTTATGTCCCCAATGTCTGTATACAAATTGACATCTTCCATAACCCTATAAACTTCTATGCATTATATCAAAGCATCTACAGGGTGATCCAGAAGTAACGTCAAAGATGTTGTAATTTCAAAAGTATTCATCAGATCTTCATGAAATTTTGTATACATGTACCCACAACATTTCTGAGTTACCATCTCAAAGATTGGAATTCAATCATTTCATTGGTTGAAATTATGGTTGCTATAGTAACCCGATATCGCGTAACCCGGGGCAAATTGAAGAGAAACCATAACGTTTTTGTGAATTTCTCTAATTTAAAAAGTCAGTAACATTTGAAAATGTTCATTGTTTGTTTTCTATGATTTTTATATTTGTTGCCATGGTAACAAATATGTAATAGTTGTGATGTCACAATAGGCATTCATAAAAAGCTTTAAATTTCTTTGAATTGCTTCCATCATCCATGACAAATACTAACATGACCAAGGACACTAACCCACCCAATTTAAGATGGCGCCAAGTCAGAGTAAAATAGAGCAAAGAACAAACATTAAGTTCTGTGTAAAGTTGGGGAAAGGTGTAAAAGAGACTATAAGACAGATAAAGAAGGCATATGGTAAAGCTGCCATTGCTGAGAGAAACATTTACAGGTGGTTTAACAAGTATTCCAGTGGATATGATGAAGTGGTAGACAAGCAGCGAGGAGGCAGGCCAGTGTCGTCATTCGATGATCAAACCATCAAAGCAATTGAAGCTGATGTTATGGACAATAGGCAAATTTCTATCAGAGAATTGGCTGAAAAACACGATCTGAGCTATGGGACTGTGCAACGGATACTGACAAAGAACTGTCTGTTAAAGAAGGTGTCTGCTAAATGGGTGCCGCATGACTTGACACAGGAGCAGAAAGACCGGCGTGTTAAGGCTTCAAGGGACTTTCTTGCAAAATATCGGAGAGATGGAGATGACTTTCTTAACAAGATCATTACGAGTGACGAATCATTGCTATCATTCTACATCCCAGAGACCACGCAACAAAGTTCATCGTGGAAACATGACAACTCCCCAACACCAACCAAGCCTAAAATAGTACCAGGAATTCCACAAAAGAAACAAATGGTTGTGACATTCTTTGACATTAGAGGAATGGTGTTAACCCATTTTGTTCCCATTGGCCAGAGAATTAATGCTGTTTACATTGCAAAGGTAAGATATCATTTGTTCTAATAATACATCATACTGTGAATTTTATTTTTAAATTAAAGTATTTAAATGTTGTTCACTGTCAATATAATTATAACTCCATGGCCATGATTCAAATCCAAATCCAATCAATGAAACAACTGGTTAACAACCATTAAACATTTGTTTTTCAGGTTCTGAAGCGTGATCTTCAACGTTCCCTGAGGAAAAAGCGTCCCGGACATCTGCAGCAGTTTATCTTGCATTGGGACAATGCCCCTACGCACACTGCAATCCTGACCAGCAACACAGTCCAAACACTTGGATTTCAACAACTTGAACATGCCCCTTATTCACCTGATCTTGCCCCCAGTGACTTTTATTTGTATGGGGAACTAAAAAGAAACCTTAGTGGAAATAATTTTCAATCCTGTGAGGAATTGAAAAATGCCGTAGTACTAGCCCTACAAGGAATGAGTTCTAATGGATTTAATTCTGTGTTCAAGGAATGGGTATCCAGACATGAGAAATGTGTTGCAAATGGTGGCAATTATGTAGAATGAACTATTATTAGTAACTGTGCAATAGTATGATTTATATTGTTGTGAAATAAAATGTTGAGGATATAACAATTTCAGATCTTGTTGATATTTTGAGATTACTCATTACACGTTAAGTAATTTGCCCCGGGTTACGCGATATCGGGTTACTATAGCAACCATAATTTCAACCAATGAAATGATTGAATTCCAATCTTTGAGATGGTAACTCAGAAATGTTGTGGGTACATGTATACCAAATTTCATGAAGATCTGATGAATACTTTTGAAATTACAACATCTTTGACGTTACTTCTGGATCACCCTGTACATGTACTTTCCAGTCATATTTTGTTTTCATGTTTCTATTTCTCAGTTCCCATAAACATAAACCTTTAGTGCATTCTACATTTCCACATATATTATATATCCTTAAATGTTCACTCTTCCACGTTACATTATAGTAATGAATCTGTTATATTTCAATTACACACTCAATGAGACTCACTTTTAGCTTAACATAAAACAAAATTAATGTCACTTTAAAACTCTGAACGTCCTGTAACTTTTACAGATTTTATACTTTTGAAGTTACCTCTTGCCTTTAACTATCCCCGTATCCAGATGTTTCATGACACAAACCATAGGTAACTAAATTATCATAACAATCATTTTGAAAACTATGTGGAGCTTTTATAATGAACATCACCTAAAAGGTCACCTGGATAATTTGTCCTGGATGACTTTAAAACATGTACATGCAAAAAATAGTAAAACAAAAAAATATCATAAATCAACTGGCGTAAAATTCATCCAAGTACATTTTTTAAATTGCAATCAAATTCCAGATTTATCCCCAGACATGTTATTCAAACAGAGAAATTAAAACTGAAAAAATCATAAAATCCTCTACAAATAGAAAACCTAAATTGCTTTCCGAATTGATGATTCTTCAATGTCATTCTAAAGCTTGTATTCATAAGAACATGTGTCGCTTCGTTTATGAGTGTCACAGCACCCTGCTTCAGATGATCAAGCCGCCTAAAGTCATTTGCCTTTCTTTTTCACATGCCTCATCACCAGATCAATACAACTTCAAACACTGCAAATGTTTATACCGGCGAGAGCAATTTTCTGCCGATTTGTTAAGATTTGAAGATGATTAATTGGTATGCTACTGATGCAGAATGAAATAGATAATTGAGTCATATGTCTTTATCATTTGTTTATTATATAATAATAGTAAGTTGTATTCAGTTTGCTTCATATCACTTATCCAATGCAGCTAGACTCCATTTGCATCTAGCTAGACTGTACAAGAATCTTGCTAGATTGTACTAGCACAAAGCTAGACTGTAATAGCATCTAACTAAATTATACTAGCATATAGCTAGAATATACTAACATCTAGCTAGATTTTACTAGCATCTTGTAGCTAGACTGTACTAGCACTCAGCTAGACCTAGTCTTGTTTGAAATCTACAGTTTCTTTCCCCTGACTTATGCTGAAGGAAGCATGTATGAGGAAGGTAAGGATTTGATAAAAACTCAAAGATCTCCACAGGATTTTTTCTCAAGTGGGTGCAAACTTCTCATTTTCACAATTCAGACCAAAATTGGTAAAAATATGCCAATTTTTCATGATTTATCTCATTTTCAAGTAGGTGCAAATGGATTTTCAGGTGGGAACACGCCTATTTTCAAAAATCTCAGGTGGGTGCTACGCCTGATTGCTTTAATGCTGGAGGGATCACTGAGGCTGTAACTTCTACAGATAAAATCATTACCTGTTCTGTATACTGTATATTACATGTACTCAAGTGATGATGATACTCTGATCAATCATGCTATCTAGCCAGACAGACAGGTTTCCATAACAAAAATCAATTGATGTATGTTTCAGGTGCATATCAATTTCATAAAAAATCAAAGTAACTAGAGAATTACAATAAATATAATGTTAAAAAATAGTGAATTTGGTCTAAATCTGTTTTCTCTTCCATGTTTAAAATCTGCCCATTTGCTACAATAAGTCAGTACCCGTTTATCTGAACAATTGTTCTGGACTTCCCATAAGAACTTACCAAATGAACCACATACCAAGGGATCCTAAGGATATCATATTAGATTTACCCTTTGCATTCGTTTGACATCACATCTTAAAAGAGAGCTTCGTCTTCACTCTTTCAGTTTACAATAAATCTCTGATCTCAACGAACCAATCAGAGTTCACCGTCGAAATACGGACGACTTTCTTTGTGGTCATTTCCTCTAAAACCACCGCATAATTAATGAGCAGGTAATTAGCACTATGTTCCTTCAACTTCGCTGATTGGTTGAGAAAGGGTCAGCGTGGTAGATTTGGAATGATTTATTACTCGGGCTGTCAAAGGCACCAATCTTTGGGGCAGGGTTGCTAAACTGTAATACTGTCTATACTAGGCAGAGGGTAGTTAATAACTAGGCTCTGTGCACAGGGTATATTAGATTGTACTCAAATATATTTCCCTTGCCTCCTTTTTCATACAGGGTATATTAGATTGTACTCAAATATATTTCCCTTGCCTCCTTTTTCATTTGAATCGTTACATAATTTTAAACTTGAAGCTTGGTAATTCACTTTTTACATTTGATTCAATATATAACAATACTGATGCTATGAGGAAAGATGCACT